TCCCCTCCCCTCCCCTCCCCTCCTCCGGGCCGGGATGAGCCTCGTCGGCGCCGCGCTCGACGCGCTGCCCGGGCGGCCGCGGGAGAGTCTCTGCGAGCGGCTGCCGCGGCTCTGAAGGGTCGCGGCGAAAGTGGGGGGGAAAGGAGGCTCCAAGACCTGCGTTACCCCTTCTGCGGCGAGGATTCACCCTCGCTCGCCGGGAAAGATGTCGGATACCAAGGTGAAAGTGGCCGTCAGAGTCCGGCCCATGAACAGGCGAGGTAATAAATCCGATGGGAGAATTAAAAAAGACCGTGCTCGTTTCTCCCTGAAACGGTCCTCTTGTCTTCTTCCTCCTCCTCCTGTTACGTTCCTCCTCCCTGCTCTTTGCAGAATCCACTTGTTTGCAAAAGGGGTTTTTTTTTGGGGGGGGGAGAAGAAGCAAAAGGCTGCAGAGTTGCAGCTTTTGGGGAAAAGGGAGGGGGGTGTTTGTCGTCCCACCCTTTCAAGCCAAGTCTTTGCAACGGCGGAAGGTCGTGGGAAGCGGGGTGTGGAGAGAGTGCGAACCTGCGAAAAACGGAGCTCTTCGGTGTGTGCGAGCGCCGAGCGCTTTTGCAAGCAGAAATTCTCGAGCGTGTCTTGCTTGGGCTTCACCCCTTTCAGCATTTTGGAGAACAACGCCCATCTCGTTTCCTATACTTTTTCTCTAAGTCGCAAACGGGAATGGTTTTTGCTAGGAACGAGGAAAGTCCCGCTGGCTAGCGATGAATTGTCTGTATCAATCAATCAACCCGAAGAAAGCTGGAAGGGGAAGGATGCCTTGTGGGGAGACAAAAAGTTCTGAAGTGCCCCTGTGTTGCATTCTAGAGTTGGAGTTGAATACCAAGTGTGTTGTGGAAATGGAAGGGAATCAGACTGTCTTGCATCCTCCGCCTTCAAACAACAAGCAAGGAGAAAGCAGGTAAAGAACAAATCCAAACTTGCCTTCTGGAGCCCAGCATCTTTTGTTATCTGCACATCAGCTGCTTCCATCATCTGCCTTTAAAATGTCAGTTTTCGCCATGATCCCCTTCTGGCTCAGGCAGGTGCCAAATAGAAATAAGGTTACTTAACCTGTGGAGTATAGGGCTGCATGAACAAAAAGTTAATGCTGTCTTCTAAATGATTTGCACTGCAGTAGTATGTGCATGGTGTTTGGGGTTGATCTGAAGGATAGTTAGAATTTCAAGCAAAAATGGATGCTCTTGGTGCTTAAATGCAAAAGTTCGTAAATATGTGCAGATGCCTCTCCTGGATTCCTTATTATTTGTGGTTTATTTCAGTTGCGAGAATATATCTGGTATTTATTTATAAATCCCTGAAAAGAGCAATTGGAAATAATCCAAAATACCAAAATAATTTTAAAAATAGATTGGATTCCCCCCCCCCATTCATTTGAGATTTATAAGGAGGACTTACACAGCAAAGGTGCAGAAGGAAAATTTTCTACATGTTGAGAGTGATCTTCTGAGTACAGTATGAATCTATGTCTTTGTGTGTTTTTATTCAGTGGACCTGAGTTACAGCTTTCTTATAAAAAAAAGGAACTTATATTATTTGAGCCTACCTTTACATGTCTTAATTATGGAGATGAGAGATAAGTGACTATTAGATGTGTAAGGGATACTTCTGTATAATTTTAGAGCTTCTTGTGATACTTATATATTCCAGTATTTTATATTATCAAGACACAGTTCCAGGGAATTAAAGGAAATATTAGGGCTGTGAGAAATTTGGATTCAGAGATTTCATTTGAAGGTTATTAATTTGATTCTTCTAGTTGAATTAGCTTTCAAAATCTAATCAGAAGGCCAAAATAGATGGCTTTAAGGTAAAGGTAAAGGTTACCCTCGCACATAGGGGCTAATCATTTCCGGCTCTAGGGGGCAGTGCTCATCTCCGTTTCAAAGCCAAAGAGCCAGCGCTGTCCGAAGACGTCTCCATGGTCATGTGTCTGGCATAACTAAAGGCCAGAGGCGCACGGAATGCTGTTACCTTCCCCCCAAAGGTGGTTCCTATTTTTTCTACTTGCATTTTACATGCTTTTGAACTGCTAGGTTGGCAGAAGCTGGGACAAGTCATGGGAGCTCACTCTGTTATGCAGCGCTAGGGATTCGAACCACCAAACTGCCAACCTTTCTGATCGACAAACTCAGCATCTTAGCCACTGAGCCACCTTTGGATGGCTTTTCATTTATCTAAATTATGTCAAAGCCTCAGCATAAGCCCAGAAATATTTTTTTTTCATTCAAATGACAATTCAAAGCAAATAGGCCCAGTTAAGGTCAAATAACTGAATTGAATTGATTTTCTGAATCTCTTTGATTCATCACATCAAATCTGTTTTCTAAATCAGATTCGTTTGAATTGAATCAAATTGATTATATTTTTGAGCAATTGAGACTCTGTCCTCTATATCAATGCAATACCAATTGTACAAGTTAGTGTGGATTGCTGTTACTGATTTACAACATACTAGGAATGTGGCATTGACATCTGAATTTATTAAACAGTAGGGCTGCATATGGATAGTTTGCTTCGATGAAAGATTAAAAAAAAAGCTCACTCTGGAATCTGTTTCATGAAGAAACGTGGCTCCTTCACTTTTCAGAATAAACTGAAGTGGCCATATTGCTTCGCTCTCTTCCGCAGCATCCTGCAGTTCCTCTGGCACTCATAATTGGTAGAAGTCTTCCAAGTCAGCTAGTAAAACAATTAGAAGAAGTTTCTACACAAGTACAGTATCTTACAAAAACTGTACTAACTTCTGCAAGCGCTGGAGGAAATTGCAAAGGGATGTGTAATGCTTGTTTGTACAAATGTTAGTTGCTACATGTTACTAAGTACGTCTGCAAATAACTCGCCAGGTAGCTTATACTGTGCTTATACACGTAGTCCTCGACTCATGTTCATTTAACAATGGTTCAAAGTGTTGACAGCCTTGGAAAGAGTGTGTCAGGTGCAAGAAACCAGAATCACTAGTGAATATACTCAGGTAGATATTTTTGTTGATCACTTATTGGAATCTTGTCAGATTGACTGCATTCCCTTGGGAATGGTCAGAGAAAGCTTCAGGGATTCTGAGATAGGTCACGTCTGTGGAGATTTCTGCACTGCGAGGATTCTAAGCTTGGCTCCCTCTACCACACTTAATGTTTTGACCTCAGACATTTTCTCTCCCAATCTGATTCCATGCTGGAATGTTTATTCCCCCTAAAGGGACTCCGTCTCCTCCTGTCGGTGATTCCACCATGCTTCCATGCTTATAATCTATACTCCACTTAAAACCGTTGTATCACCTCTACAGTCATGTGGTCATAATTCAGGCAGTTGGCAGCTGGCCAACTGGCATTTACAACCAGTTAGAGTGTCCTGTGGTCATGTAATCATGATTTGTAGCTTTTTTTGCCCATTTCTGGTAAAAAAATGCCTTTTAGGGAAGCTGGATTGACTCAGTAACTCTGTGAGTTGCTTAACAACCACAAACCCTGTGGTAAAATTGGGCCTGATTCAACCTATGACCACAACAAAATCAAAATTCTGATCTCAATTCTGGTCAGAAGGCGAGGATTGTCTATACAGTATAGTGCAGTTTAATAATTGAACAATGAAACTATTGTGAAACAATGAAATGGGCAAATTAAATACTTGCTTTACAGCTTTTTCAGGGAGACAGAGATAGGACTCTTGCAGTAGGTAATTGCAGAGTCTGCTGTCCATTGATGAGAAATATTCACTCCCTCCTGTCCATTGATAGAACTTCAAATGGAAGTAAGCTGTGAACAGACATTTCCAGAATATCACAACAATATTAGGTCTGGCTGCATTTTGTACCAACCACGGATTCCAAATATTTCTGAAAGCAGACCTGTATTTGGTGATAATATACTTGCTTTAGTAACAGCTCTAGGTGTAGTATCACCAAAAGCTGAGTGGAAATTTTTTGAGCCATAGTGGCTATTAGCTCAGGAGTAATGACGGTTCCAGAAATGCTCTCAAGATTCTCATCTATCCACTGACTTTGTTGTAGTTCTTAATTTGTTACCAATAGCCTAATGAAGCCCTAGCTCAGTCTCATCTAAAATTAGATATATCCAAAGATAGTAAAAGTAATAAGCTTCAATATGTCCAATTTTGCTATCAAGATACTACTACTTACTCTTTCTCTTGCTTAGTTGCATGGTCCATTTCTTTTGTATTTCACATGCTCTTCTAGTAAAGCTTACAATGTACAATGTGAAAAGGCGGATTGTTTATCAGATAACTGACATTGATTTGGCTTCTATGTCTAAGATAAGACTAAACTTGGGTCTTTCCACTCTGAGTTCACTATTAATCATTACACCATGCTGGCACTTACATAGAATCAAGTTGATAACAACCAAATAAGTCCTATTGTAATACAACAATTTATATGTCTTTAAGAATTAATAATAATAATTTATGTGTGCTTAAGTCCTAAGTCCTGTTTTCTGTAGACTACAGTGCAGATTGAAATGATTACTATATTTTATGTAGGAATGTGCAAAACATTTTGAGTTGAAACACCCAGTATGAGATTCAAAGTGGGTTGTTCAGACCAATCTGAAAGTGTTTCAAGCTCAGAAGAGTTATTTCCACATTCAAAATAATTGCTCTAAGCTTGAAACGAGGGCTTCTAAACATTTCTACGGTGATTAATACAATGTATTTTGGACATGAAATATTTTGATTTTAAAATGTAGATATCTCTAATTTTAATCAGTTAAATATTTTGTATTTTTCATAGAGTACATGTTATGCAGATATTTTTAAAAGATATATTTAGATAACATTTTTAATTATAACTTTTTAAAACCACTTTTTCATTAGAAGCAATATATGCCATTTATAGTGGCTGATGTGGTTATTTATCATAGCTTCAAGCTTTAGACCAAGTTAATAGGTAAAGGTTTTAGCTGTGGTGAGTTGGTAGGTCATTGTAAAACCCTCAGTTTCATCTTATCTAAGTGGAGTGTCTGGTGAAATGAGACAGATACCAACTGTTTCTTTATCCAACATATTATCAGCCAGATAGAAGCTGCTATGCAAGCCCTCTTAAAATCACCTGCCAGAAGCAGCGGATGGAGTAACAGCTGACTGCATCCTTAGCCTTTATTTATAGAAAACTTAAATAAAAGTTATTCTGATTTCTTTTAAAATGTTCATCCTGCTCATTTCTTCAGTTTATAAAATATTAAAATATTGTTAAATATAAACTTTTCCCCATTAACCATGTTGCATTTGTTTCAGATGTTGGGTGAGATACTAATTACAAGGAATGTTATTCTAAAATTATGAATTATTAAAACCCTGGTCCTAAAATGGCATATCTATGTCAATACTATTAAGATATTAAAATAGGGATCCTTTCTAGAAAAACTTTCTCTTCTGGTTGTGGCCCTTATTTAGAAACATCACGGTAGATTTTTTCCCCCCAGCATCTGTGGAGGTAAATCTCAGTTTAAATAAATTATACCTTTTGATATTATCTTTTGAGTTTAATAGATCATTTTCTCCAGAAATTACATTTTTGGTTGTATGGAAATTTGATTCATTGAAAGAAAAAATGTTTCACAAATGTTGGAAATACAGTTTAGTTATAAAAGTGCAAGTATCTCACTTTTAATAGTGTTTTTCAATATTTATTTGCAGTTAAGGATGAGTTTGGTTAAGATACAGTGAGATATAAAAGCAAAAATGATACATCAGTTGGGACAAAAATATCTTACATAACATAAGGATGATTCTTTTAGGGATATCCGACTTACAATGATGCGGGGTATTTGGCAATAGCAAAATAAAAACAAAACCTTACAGGTAGTCCTTGACCTATGACCACAATTGTTCCTAAGTGAGACAGTTGTTTTGCCCCATTTTATGATCTTTCTTGCCCCAGTTGTT